TCCTATCAACCTGAATGGGCTTTTGCTTAATAAAACTTCATTTTACAGAATCTTTTTTTCTAGACGTTGAATCTTAGTTTTATTTTCACGATATTGTTTCTACATGTTGTCCCTACGTCGCCTTGGTGTCATTATATATATATATATAAACTGCAGTAATTTTGTTATTGTTGTCAGATGACAGTTGTTGTGCCCAAATTAGTAAAATTTTTAATTTTTTTTTGTTCCCGATATGAAATCGTATAACGCGATGTAGATTTTTGTGCGTACTTTAATTCTAGACCACAAACTTGCAATTCTGTAAAGCCAATTCAAAGATTTCTTAAAATGAAAAAATGTCGGTAACTACCGCCACTATAGGATCCCCTTAAGATTCAATTATTTTCGGAGAAATTGGAAAAATTTTGTAACCAGTTTCCAAAAAGATCGGTAACAAAAAATAATACACTTTATAGCACTCCCCAGAAAATTCTACCTCTACTTCATATACAATTGTTTGAGATTCTGTCAATTAATTTTCGAAAAATTTTTTGATACCGATTTTCCCAAAGATCGGTAACGAAAAATTATATACTTTATGGCAATTCCCGGGAAATTTTACCCCCACTTCATATAATTCTTTAAGATTCGGTCAATTAATTTCCGAAAAATTGGAAAAATTTTGTAACCGGCTTCCAAAAAGATCGGTAACAAAAAATTATACATTTTATAGCACTCCTCGAAAAATTCTACCCTTGTTTCATATATAATTCTTTTAAATTTGGTCAATTATTTCCCGAAAAATTAGAAAAATCGGTTTCCAGAAAATTGGTAGCAAAAAAATGGCCGCGACATTTTCATCCCCGGAAAATTCTACCCCTACGTCATATACTTTTGGTAAAATTTCGGTCTACTAACGAATGAGTAGTTCGCGTACAGACAGACAGACAGACAGACAGACGTGACTTATATACGGTATATAGATGTATGTGTTTTGAATGTTTTAACTATAAATTTCATCCTTAATATTGGAAAAAAGATATTTTATAAATATTTTTTGTTAATAAATAAAAGGCAAAAAATTTCAATCTTTGTGATTAAATTTTTAATAGATATCCATTGTTATGTACGGAAATTTTATCTTAAAATTTCGGACAACACGTTGACATTTTTTAACGCTTTAGAAGACTCACGCTAGCAGCTCGGAATTCCGAGCGAACGCTCAGGTCAATACAAATGTTTGTTATATCCTATACGGTTATCGGACGGGCGTTGGTAGGCTGGTTGCCAGATAGGCCCAAAACTACGTTTCTAGAAACTTCTAGAAAACCTCCCCCCTTAAGACGCGTAGGAAGTGGTGAGAATCTCGCGCGTTCTGGCCATTTCTGGTATAAAAAGGGCGGAAAACACCGCGGAGCGATTTTTGCTTCGGCTTATAGTTAGTTCCTTAGTTTTAGACTTCGACTCTGTTACTTCATTCTCAACTTAAATCATTTTTCTAACTCTTATTCAATTCCAGACAGTGCACTTTCGACATTCGACTATACGTACAAGTCCGAGCATTCGCGTTCGTTTCTGGGACGGGGATCCTGCAGCCGTATGATTTACCGACATTATCGTTTTTAGATGGATCTTTTAATTGGCTTTATGGAATTGCAAAAATTGTTTACATAATTAAAGTACGCACAAAAATCTAGGTACACAAACGCGATTTTATATCAAAAACACCAAAAAATTAAAAATTACTTATTTGGGCACATACAGCTGTCACCTGACGACAATATTTGCTTAAAACAAAAATTCTGCAGTTTATACATACATAATGTTTATCATCTTACCTTGGGAAAACATATAGGAATAATATCGTGCAAGTATATGGCACGCCGTTTTGCTATTTAATACTATCATAAAAATTCTATCAAATTAAATTAATACTCAAAGAAAAGAAATTATTTTATGTCTAGACATATTTATAATTCATCGAATTATTATTAAGCTATTACATAATTGAAAATGTATGGCACGCACCCAAAAAAAAATATTCTGCAGTTTAGCGGTTCCTGGTTCATGCTAGAGGATTTTCCTCTGAAATAGGGCCTTAAGAAGATGTTTTAAACTGTAGAGGAATATCCTCTAATCATGAGACTCTAGATTCAAGATTGTGCAGTCCTCTTAATATTAGAGGACATTGATTTCCGATATTCACCCGAAATAAATAAAAAAAATTATTTATTTTGAAATTTTATTACTATTTTATAACTAAATTTGTTTCTTAAGATGTAGTCTATGATTATAAATATTTTCTTGTATTGGAAAAAACACTTACCTTGGTGGGATCGAACTCGGGACCTCTGGATCGTGAGCCAACTGCCTTACATGGTAGACCACTTCTTAATTTGATGTAAGTGTTATATATTGTCTACATAACCAGCGCAAATATATAATTTTCCAAAAATTATCTTAATAAACAAATTCAGTTTAAAAAGAGTAATAAAATTTTGAATTGGATATAAGATATATGATATAATATTTCTTAATGTCGGGTGAATGTCAGAAACGAGTGCCGGCTTATTATGAAATTTTGTGTTCGTAAATATATTTATGAAAATAGTATGTTTATAAAGTTAAAACGTTAAAACATTCTTATCAAATCCTTACAAGGGCCTCAATAGACAAAAATAAGAAAACGTTTCGTATGGCATCCCTAATAAATAATGATCGGGACTTTATCCGGTTAGCCCTAATAAATAAGTATTTATGAAGTTAAAACATCCTTATCAAATCTTTACAAGGACCTTATTAGATAAAAATAAGGAAACCTTTCTTATGGAATCCTTAATAAATAATGATAGGGACCTCATTAGGTTAAAATAAGGAAATCTTTCTTATGGCATCCCTAATATATAACTAATGATCGAGGACTTATGTTATATAAGGCCATTCTTAATAAAGCCCCTTGCACAATACCAGGCAACAGGCAATAGGAACAGGGAATAAAAATCAGAAATCAATGTATAAATGCAGAATAAACAGTGACACAGGCAATAGACACAGGAGTTTCCGTCACGTTGGAAATTATGTGTCTATTGCCTGTTGCCAACAAATCATAACATTCGAATATTTTAGGTTGTAATTAACAATTTTTTATTATTTCCTGTTCCTATTGCCCGTTGCCTGGCATTGTGCAAGGGGCTGAACTTTCTACACGGGCGTCTCGTGGTAGCGTACGCATCGCGTAGCTAATAAGACGATCGTCTTTTAACTTTAACGCGCGCGCCGCAAATATCTAGCATATCCTCTTATTTTAAGAGGCTAATAGTAGAATTTACTGTAGAGGAATTTACTCTTGATTATAGCTTACGCATCCACTCATTTATAAAGTAATACGTATTACTTAAAGAAGGATATTCTTCATGTAAGATTTTTTGCTTAGAGGAACTGCTAAGAGGAATTCCCCACTTATCGGCAGAATATTTTTTTTTGGGTGCGCCGTTTTGCTATTTAATACTATTATAAAAATTCTACCAAATTAAATTGATACTCAAAGAAAAGAAATTATTTTATGTCTAGACATATTTATAATTCATCGAATTATTATTAAGCTATTACATAATTGAAAATGCAGAATTAAAATTATGTCTAGACAAAATATTAATTCTGAATTTATTTTATGTTATGACATACAATTTTTTCGGGAATTAAAATTATGCACATAATTATGGCACGCCGTTTTGCTATTTATTCATAAAATTTTTATTTTAAATTAATTTTACGTGAATATATAATTTTAAGTCATTTTTATTATGTTATGACATAATAAAAATGGTTCCGAAGAACTATCTACTTCAGTTTAAATCAAGTACTGAATTTTTATTTTAGATTAAAAAATCCTATTAATAAATAGCAAAACGGCGTGCCATAGAGATCCTCTCTCTCTCTCTCTCTCTCTCCTCCAGGAATTGCAACAATTAGAAAAAACGCATCTCCATTTAAACTTATTCCTGTCGACTTCGACATTGATTATCCTAATTACAATCAAATAAATAAAAGTGATCCTTGTTACGAAACTTATAAGATACTCATCAGATATCTTTTTTGTCCCAAAAAATAATAATAATAATAATAATAATAATAATAATAATAATAATAATAA